GACTGTCGAGTCGGTAGTACACGATATAGAGATTTGTGAAACGTAAGGGGCAAGTTATTGAATTACCTGTAGTATAGCCTAGCGTAGAATGTGTTGTTGATAACTTTCTCAAAAATAAACTTCTATTCTGATTAAAATGTATGAGAGCCTTTTAGTAGTTAATTGTAATGCACCTTTGATAAATTGAGTAAACTTAGAAATAGGATCACAAAAATCACTGTTTTGCTAGGGATTGTTCAAAAGCCACAATCTTCCCAGCTTAATCTCAGCACATAGAGACCCCATGAGGTTCGACTTACAAAACTTCCTCTCTGTGTTAGGCTTAGTTATAACACCAGATGACGATGTCAGTCAGTTAAAAAATTTTCCAATTATAGTTAGAAGTGATCATGCGGTCGTCTTACTGTAGTTCATTACTGTTATGGTCCGTCAACCAGTTGCGCTGGTTTACTTTTACACGCGGAAGGCAGACATTAAGGTGGTCAAACATGAGCTTTGACTCAAACCTAAGAAATTGACCCAATGCATCTGTATGAGAGAAATTGACTCATTATCGGCAGCTATACGATCATGTATCTCACCCATTTATTCACACAGTTGTTACAAAGAAGAAAACGTAGTGGTATAACTAGGGAAACCAGGAGATCCAACGATTACTGGAACAAACCAAAATGTTGAAACATCGTCATCTACCTTAGGGTAGTGAATACGCTGAGACGGTACAAGTTGTTTCCCAAAAAGTGTACAAGGGCAATCTATGAAGCGCAGCGGATATATGAAAATCAATTTGTTCAATCGGTAATCAAGCAGACGAAGAACCTGTTTTCGTACATAAATCGCAGGAGTAGATTGCACTATTGGATTCCAAACCTAACTACTGGTTGAAAAGCATTTTAAACGATACATGACAACCAGAAGAAATCAGAGGCCATGGAGAAGTATTTCAGGTCATTTTTCACTCACAAGTCCCTCTTAGACGAAAAACTAAACCAAATACATAATCGCAGAATCGGCCGCTCATTGTGGACTATGATCGAGATGATGTATCAAGGGGCCTTGGCATCTTCGGCACGAAATATTTGATGACAGAACCGAATGAACTACACCCTGAATGTCTGAACCAAATTTCAAAATACGTTGTCGCTCCAATTGTGGTGTGTGCAGCTGATGTCGACTGAAAGAAATAGTGTGTATCTTCAATCGAAAGTGAAATCCCTGGAGGCAGAAGGTTGAGAAAATCAAAGAAATGAGAACAAGCATAAGAACGATTGTTATGGGATCGAGAGAACGGTCAAGTTTGAGACGATTGATTGACATTTTTCTGGTGAAATATTTACTGTATGCTTCTTACATTTTACTAAGACATTCCGTGACTTTGTGTTGAGATCGGTTCGGTTTGTCCACATTGTGTCCCCGTTCACTACACACTGACTATGATAGTGAGTATATCACTTTCTCGAGACGAGTTGCCTACTGATTGGATGGATCCATTTATCTATACGATTCATAAAATAAGACTCAGACATCTTCCACCAGACTACAGACCTATCAGCCACACTTTTGTCGTTGTTATAATATTAGAAAAAATACTGAAAAGGCGATAATGACATTCGTGGAAGACAAGAGCATGTCAAACAACGAACAACCTGATACGAAGAAGGGATAATCATGCACAACAAACCTTCTCAGTAAAATCAGCAATGGACAGAGTTTTCAGAATATAGAAATTACTCGATGTTGTTTACGCAAACTTCAGCAAAGCATTTGATATGGTGTCGGAAGCAGACTTCTCTTGAAGCTTGAAAATCTGGGAATTGTATTGTAGTAACAGTTTATATGTTAAGCCCATATACTTTATTCTTGCTTCTGGCCAAGCCAATTCGCGTATCCATTATGAGTCATATTTTGATCTCGTTAATTATTTGCTTATTAACCTTGACTATAATTTTATATGAGCGTATATGTGTATCCTTCGTATCCCATTCATCATATGTCTGTCATTCATTTTTGTCTGACTATAAATGTTGAGTAATGCTTGCTCATAGCGAGTTGGCTTCCCAGCCATCTCCAATACGAATTAATTTTGCTTCGCTCTCGAGTTGGCTTCCCAGCCATCTCCGCTATGCAACATCTTTGTTTCGCTCGCTTACATTTGCTCATGTGCTTACAACTTTCTCGCCTGCGTCATGTGTCAATAAAAGTGTAGTTGCCACTTCTTTATGCCATCTGATTTTATACACCGTTAAGTTTGGTATAATAACGGTTATCGAAGTGAACTATTACTGAATCACGGCACTACAGTATTTTTGGTTGATCAAACATTCTTTGGTAGGTCGTTGACAGAAAGTAATTATGGATTTCAAATGCCCACCCTGGAAACTAGTAGTCGGTGCAGTACACAAGGCACTTTTCTAAATACTTTAAAATTTATATCACATATAAGTGAACTACGGTGCATCGTCGAGTTTTCGTCGCTACTTTATACTGAATACTCATCCCTTCGAGGAGGCAAAAGTAAATTTTAAGAGGCAGCTCAACGGTCTTCTCTTGAAATCTCATTTTCATATTATTCAGTAATAAATACCTAGAATAGATAGTCTCATAAGTCCGCATGTAGCTCCTCCGGGGGATACTGCCGGTCCCAAGCCCGTGTAAAGGAGGAGGGTTGGGCATGGGGTTAGCGACCCCATCCCGTAGAAAACCAACTCGCTAAAAAAAACAGATAACCAGAAAAAATTATTCAAACCATTTAAACTCTGCCCTGGGAGTAGAAGGAATAATTATGACGTCTCACGATGAAAGCCGAGTCCATTCGGAAGTCATGAGGCCGATGCACCTTCTAACAACCAGAGCGACAATTTTTATAGGTACATGGAATGTCCGGACAATGTGGGAGACCGGAAGAGTCTTCCAAATTGCTGCAGAAATGAGAAAATACAACCTGGAAGTGCTTGGAATCAGTGAAACACATTGGACGTAGGTTGGACAACAACGACTGTCTTCAGGGGAACTTCTGTTATACTCCGGTCATGAAGAACAAATGCCCCACATACACAAGGAGTTGCATTGATGCTGTCCAGAAAAGCACAAAATGCACTTATGGGATGGGAATCTCATGGACCAAGGATCATCAAAGCCTCCTTCAAAACAAAGAGAGAGGGAATCACAATGAACGTCATCCAATGCTATGCGCCTAACAACGACGAACGAAAATGGAGAGATTTGCAATCCTATGTGCCTTCAATAAACTGGTCATAGGTGGCACCATATCCCCACACAAAAACATACACAAAACGTTTATTCATGATGATTAAATATAAATGAATAGGTATTCGGACCTATTGCACAAATCCAAACACTGCCTACCTCGAGTTAGAATATAAGCTGGTGCAGAAACAGGTCACAGGGAGACTAAGAACACTCTTACTAAGAAATGCAATCAGTATATGAAATCACTGACATTGGAACTGAGCGGTAGGTACAGACTACCTGGATGGAGTCTGCATGATAATCACGATTATTGGTTGGAGAATTTAAGTGACATGGATTAAGATCAAGCAATATAGGCGCAAATGGATTCTCTTATCACTGTCCTGGGCAATCCTTTCCAGTTAACATTCATCCTTTTCATATCTGATTCTACTTCCCGACGTAATGTGTTCTCTCTCCTTCCTCTTTTACGCTTCTCTTCAGGATTACAAGTTAGCGCTTGCCTCGTGATGTAATTTGGTGATTTCCTTAGTGTATGTCCGATCCGCTTCCAACGCCTCTCCCTAATTTCTTCCTCAACCGGAAGCTGGTTTGTCCACTCCAATAAAAGGCTGTTGATGATGATATCGGCAATGTAGCTGTAAATAATTCCCCAAAATCAATAGCTCTGTAAGTGTTCGACATTGGATGATGTCCATATTACTTTTAGTTTACTCGTTTAACTGAAGGCGTTTGGCCATGCATCCGTACCAGGTCACGTTACAGAACGGCGTGGGAAGCATCTCCTACGATCATTATCCAGATTAGATCAATCACTTCTCGATATATTGATAACCCATCAAATATATCTTCCAACCTCCTCGCCTCTGACTTCTGATTTTAACTGGGTGGGTGCGGTTCGATTACAGGTGTTACTGGTTAAGAGTTGTCAAACTACAATACTGGTGGTGTCATCGATGTAATAACGTTGTCTAACACCGAATTTATGCTATTTTCTCAAATATATTTGTTTGAGGACTTATGATGGACTAAGGCGTCTTCAAACATACCGTTTGTTTCTTCACCAGAACACTCTCTTAACTGAGGGAAAATAGCTGACCTCTCTGTGAGATATGCATGAGGTCTACTTTTCTCAGATCTACCCATTTCCACAACCCGATTTGACAACAGCCGTACAGGTCTTACTTTTTCTCTTTTCTGGACAGTCCTGTGAGATGAGTATTTACATTGAGCATTGGATTACCAATACGTCTTGGTAGGTGAAACCCCAGATAGAAAACTAATACATAATAATAAGACCCAAAGAGAAGATAGTGGTTTAAAGTTACATGGTCTAATAGATATTGGATAATGGACGCGGGGGCGCAATTTAAAGATGTTTCTCGAGTATATTTATTTACCTTGCCAGTAAACATTTGTTCTTTGTATTAGGTTCTTAAATTACTGCTCTACTAGCTCTGTTCCACAATTTATTATTGTCAGTCAAACCGCCAGTCCACTATTTGTAGTTCATATGTACTCGACAGTGTCAGTATTTTTAAAGTGGACACTAGTATCCTAAACGAACAATAAAGGAGAAAATGCATTGGAAAATAAGGGGGAAATAACGCGGAAATGCGTCAAAATGTCTGCTTTTTCGTCTGACTGGGGGAAATAAGGCGGAATTACCCTTTTGTGTTGCTCTAAATATCCGCCAAATTGTCTACTTTTCGCTAATATACACACCGATGTAATTTTGCACCCACTCTTAAAACGCTTTTGTCGTTATCCCAAACATCTGTGTTCGCCTTCATTCCCACAACACAGCACACGAAAAGTGTAATGTACGTAAAATATTCGATATGTCCGTATTAAGCAGTGGTATCAATAGACTCGGTCAACTATTAGTTATATCATGATGTTGTGCCATCCCAAGTGTATAAGTGGTTGTTGACCCTGATCAATTGTTTGTGTCGAAATATCAAACCCTATATTACAGTTATGATTATTCAAGTAAAGGTAAGCACTAACTGGTCTTACTTGGTTAGGTTCACAACAGCTTTTATTATGCAGTGCTGTCAACTATTGTGTATTACGTCTCAATTTTTTGCACACGACAAAGAGCATTTTAGCTGCGTAAGTTCTTTAGATCTGACGAAATATTCCCATAGTCTCGATTTTATATCACCATGTTAGACTGCCTCGAGTGAGCAATAATTCACGTTATTGTAACATACAAAATTCAGTGCTGTGTAAATAACTTACGTAATTTGTTTCTAATATATTCTAAGGTGATTAACTGATGGAAATTATCAGCATTGATTCGCCGAAGTTCCGAATAGGAGATCTGAAGAAACAATTTACTTCCTTTTTACCCACTGAGCATAAAATATTAAAGGAAAAGGAAGCTAATGATCTTATTACGTCTGAGTTTAGAAAGATCGTAACTGATTCATCATTATTCGAACAGCTTGAGAGTGATTGCAGGTAAATCTATCTACACTTTAGAACTTTTGTCTAGTTTGGAAAATTTATATTTCGATGGGGAGTACACGACCCTAGAAGAAATCTTAAAAATCATACCGTCGAGGAAAAATGAAAAGCAGCTGAAGACTCTGACTCATTTGCTGAAAGAAACTGAAGGTTTGAATTCTAGGACATCAGTCCTCACAGCAACGCAAAGAAATCCTCGACCACTTGTGGACACGTCTTACCGAAACTCTGTTGATGAATCTCCAGAGGCCACAGAAGTCATTCAGGATGCATTTGTGTCCGTTCTTGTTTACCGACCATTTTGCCTTCCTAGCATCGATCCCTGCGCGCAGGTATTATGGGTCATTTTTAGCGACTTTTTAAGTCTCGGCAACTAGTCATTACTCAGAGGTTGGTGCTGTTGTCCAAACAAAATCTCACAGTCCTAAGGGAAGCCATAAAGTGTTCACAAGATAAGGTAAGTGTTCACCCTGTGTAAGCAGTTTTCAGGTTTGGCTAGGAGACTGTAGTGAGGCCCTTGACAATCCCGAGCTGCGTGTTTCGGCGGATCGAATTTACCCTTCATCATATTTTTTCATTGAAGGCACTTTTTATGATGATCTACGGAACCCAAATAGCAAGAGCCTTGGGGAGTAAGTTACTTTGTTTACTTTATACCCTAGAGAGGTTATACAGTGGGCCAAAAGCAAAAAAGAACTTAAGACGTATGGGCCTTTTACATCATCACCAATGGAATCAGTGACTCTTGAAGATCTTGTTATTTGCATTGGAAAGCCATATTTTTTCGTACATCAAGGAAATTGTGAACATATGATTATCTTTTCCGATATCCGGTGGGTTTAAAATCGCATTTCTTAGTTCTAGTATTCCCTTCATTCTATTATACTAGCCGTTTATTTGAAATGATGTTTAACCTCAACCTAATCAATTTGTAGACCACCGTTATCTTATTGTTTGGCAAAGTGAATGACCATTCCGGGATTTCATGGGATTCTTGAGCCCTAGCAAATGAATCCTGTAACTCGGTTTGACATACTTTTCAGACATTAGGAGGATCACCACATAGTTTAAAGAGTGGCTTCAGGGAACTTTTGTGAATTCGAATAGTCAGCACTAGTGACATATTTGAAAGAAGTCGAAGATTTGTATTTAAGGAATTATTACTGAGTAAAAAAAGGAATTTGATTGTGAATAAGGTGACACCAAGTCTTGCTTGATATATAAAGGTTGGTGTAACTTCGCGGAATCGTTCTTGAAGGACCTGAAAAGTGAACCGTCCTTGGGATAATTTTGACGACCTAATAGGGTGACCTCAAAGCTCAAGTATTTGGAATAATCAATAGTAAAAAGAAATGAGAGAGAGGAATATCGTCAAGAAATTGTAAAAAAACCAAGCATGCGAGTGTAAGTCCTCGTTATTCTTCGTATTATTATTATTTCCTTACGCCTGTTACCCCTCGTGGAGGAGCATAGTCACCCACCAGCATTCTCCATCCAACTCTGTCCTGGGCAATCCTTTCCAGTTAACATCCATCCTTTTCATATCTGCTTCTACTTCCCAGCGTAATGTGTTCTTTGGCCTTCCTGTTTTCCAATTCCCTTCAAGATTCCAAGTTAGGGCCTGTCTTGTGATGCAGCTTGTTGATTTCCTTAATGTATTTCCGATCCACTTCCAACGTCTTTTCCTAATTTCCTCATTAACTGAAAGCTGATTTGTCCTCTTCTCTTCTAGATTTACTGCCGGTCCCTAGCCCGCGTAAAGGAGGAGGGTTGGGCATGGGGTTAGTGACCCCATCCCGTAGGAAACTAACTCGTTAAGAAACGCCAGCCCGAAAAAATAATTATTGTACAGTCCGAAAACTACGGCGTGTTGCTGTTGGATTTAACATTAAGTCATAATTCTAAAATCGCAATTCGGCATGTCTAGACTATATACTTGTATTATTTATCACAGTCAATAGGGATATATTGCTTTTCTGCAGCTATCTCGTATATTGGACGTATACAGTAATTAGTTAGAAGACGTACGATCACTTTTAGTGTGAACGCTACTTAGCCAACTCTGCTGATCATTTTCTAAATATCTCAATAGACGTTTACAAGAAATATTTTATCCATATAATACACCTAATTTCGCACACGACTACAAGTGCAGGAGACGACCAGTGTAGCAACAGCCTCAGCAGCAGTAGGTCTCAACATACACAAAGGGAAAAGCAAGATTCTCCAATACAACACAACATGCACCAACCAAATCACACTTGACGGAGAAGCTTTGGAGGATGTAAAAGCCTTTACATATCTGGGCAGCATCATCGATGAACACGGTGGATCTGATGCAGATGTGAGGGCGCGGATCGGCAAAGCAAGAGCAGCATACTTACAACTGAAGAACACCTGAAACTCAAAACAATTGTCAACCAACACCAAAGTCAGAATTTTTAATACTAATGTCTAGACAGTTCTACTGTATGGGGCGGAAACTTGGAGAACTACGAAAGCCATCATCCAGAAGATACAAGTGTTTATTAACAGTTGTCTACGCAAAATGCTTCGGATCAGTTGGCCAGACACTATCAGAAACAATCTACTGTGGGAGAGAAGAAACCAGGAAGCGCTGAAAGTGGATAGGACCCACATTGAGGAAAGCACCCAACTGCGTCACAAGGCAAGGCCAAAGAACAAATTACGCCGAGAAGTGGAGACAGATATGAGAGGAATGAACAACAACTAGATAGAACTAGAAAGGAAGGCCTAGGACAGAGTGGGTTGAAGAATGCTGGTCGGTGGCCTATGCTCCATTCGGAATAACAGGTGTAAGTAAGGATAAAAGTTGCAATTTGCATGTTGTGTGCTATCGTTTAATTTGAACTTTTAAAGTAATAGACAAGTCTCAGACATCTTCTTTAACGAATTCTTTTTTTAACACTTCAGTCTTGTAGATCGCGATTCATGTCAAACTGAGTCCTTATTCCCAATGCTCACCGGTCGATGCAGTGTACGTGTATTGCATTGTTTCGTTTGCAGACGTCTTGCTTCCCGCTGGATAGTTACGGAGTGTGGGACCATTTTACCTGTCGATCCATGTCCAATATGTGACGTATGCATCCGACTATTACTTTATACTGCTGATGGAAAGAAGATTGATCCGCGTTTTAGAGTTTTGATGTATTGTGGAGAGGAAAATGTAGTGTAAGGCCTCATGTAAATAATTTGAAATAAACACTTTCAAAAAACATTTCACTTTTCACAGACTGAACTCTGAAATCGCCTTAATAATAATCATCAGTTGTTTTTCTGTAAAATTCCGATAATTTAGTTAACAATACATTGTTACATATCCTTGACTGATAGTTTACGTTTCTACCTAATTCCTATATATTTCAGACAATAAATCCTATGGGTTTTCCTAGAGAAGAGAAGAACAATGAACCAACAGCTAACACAAACACACCAATAGGAGAATCAAACACAGATAAAGTTGCGGCTGCTACTTTCGGTGTCTTAGCTGAGATTTCAAGTCTCTTAAACACAGGTAAACATGGCATATTTAATCGGGATCCGCAGTTGATGTCCATTTTAATGCTAAAAACGACTAAATTATTTACTGTAACAACGCGAAACCTGGTTCAACAGAAGTGGATCTCAAATCAATTTTCAAGTTAAATTGGTTGAAAAGCCAGTAATAGTTGCGCGTCAAAGTTTATTAGGACTAATCAAATGTTAGATAAACTGATTTTAGACCCTCAGAATAATTGTACTGCTTATATTATCACAAAATCGTAGCTTTAAAAACGCCCCATTTATAAGCCTTATTGACTATCGCATTTTCGATCGTGACTACATTTCTGTAAACAAATACATTTGGCTTTAGATTTCTTATAGCACTACCGATTTCATAATCATAGTTGACATTAAGGTCTTGGTCTCACTAATCCCCACGACGGAAAAAATGTCACCGAAAGTGTGTACTGTCATGATTCTTAATTTCACGAGTATGACATGCATTTGTGACTGGTTGACCAAAAGGTCCTACATTCGTGACATCCCAAATACTACCCAAGTTTACTATATGCTTCTCACTCGAATAATAACGGTCGAGTCCGTAGTTCCAATGGGACCGTCAGGATCACCTACAACCTTCATCTTTATCTGGTTTCTTTGAAGATTTCCTGTCATAAATAGTGGATGTGTACGGAACTAGGAAATACTATGGGTTTCTTTTCAAATGAAAGTGTTACAAATTACTTTCTGTTTAAACTTTTCACTAAACATATAATGTACTCAGGTTAACTCCGCGTAATTTTCATTTTAGGTTTAGATAATGAAGAATTGCTGATGTGCATCAAACTAATTGAGAGCGGTGTGAACCCAACTACTCTAGCTTTACTTGTAAACAATGTAAAACAACAGTGTGAACACCTTTCTGAACTCAAAAGATAAGTAAAACTTTAAATCCTGTATTGCATATTCAGAAATTTCAAAATAAAGATTTATTAACAAGAGAAAAATCACAGCTATTCAGCGAGTGGTATTAGCAACAGCTTTGTAGTTTGATTAAATTTGTAAACAAAGTGATTACCATTAGTCCAATGTAAAAAACAAAGAATTAATACAATACATAAGTAGGATATGTCATATAGTAATAAGAAACTCAACCGATGGCATCAGCTATTATTCGGCTAACAACGGGATCAGATGAACGTACTGTGATTTGGAAAGTTACACCCTGTTCGTTTGAATGAGGGGATGCATCAGACAATACTTTAGCAAGTTTACATAAGGCCAAAACTTGGTATCCACCACGATATACTCCGGACAGAAGGAGCTGATGAGACGACTTTCCTTCATGAGGCATATGATCAGTTTGATCACAAGGCTGAAGTCCAAGGTGTTCGATAATTTGACGCATCGTTTCTAAAGTATGAGGAAATAACTAGTGATTTTAAGCGAAAAAGCATGAAGGTTCGACATATACATGTGTGTAGAAATCATTTGATGATCATGAACACCTACATAGTAAATGTTGCCCTACTCTCCAAAAAAACTAAATTACAAACAATTCATTCATGTTCTGTCAAAAGTAATCTAACTCTTAATTACGCACTACATAAAAACAATAACCTTAGCTTAATTCCGACAATTGAGTAGACCAAAGTAAAGTGCATTCATTTTTCTCACACAGTAACACCATTTTTAAGGCAAAGAGATCAGTTTTAAACACTGTTAACGAGAAAAATGTGTCGATTTCACTAGACATTTCCATTTAACAAAACAATAGTAAGCTATACAGATTTTGAGTAGGTGACAAGAATATGGTAAAACTTAAGGATCTCCATGTAGTTTTAAAATGTTAAAAACTCCCTATTGTGATTATAAGATATAATCTGTTTCTACCGTAATCAACAGGATTTACTCTAAAATACAGCGTAATATAATATACCTGGGAACACATATATTGATATATTTGACTTCGTTAAGATACTTTGTACTTTTGTTTCAAGAATTAAATAACCTTAATTAAAATCAATAGAATGTCCAAAATTTCGATGCTGACACTGGGTTCGTATTAATTTGTGTAATTAATTGGTCATTTAGTTCGAAGTAACAGGCTGCAAATATAAGATAAAGTATCAACAGTAAAGTTTTGCGTACCTTTAATAGTCTTGTGCTTCACCAGCATATACGTCTCTTCTACTTCACTTTCAGGGCTGAGTTCCTGCCAGGCCACTGTAAAGTTTTGTTTTGAAACACGTTGAATATGGTCTGAGATACCTAAGACCAGGTCTTCCAACTGTTATAAAAGTTGGAAAAAGTGTTAGAAACTGAGAAACCAGAAAAGTGTTAGCGGGACATAGATTGGATTAAAGCATGCTGAGTGCACGATTGTGTTGACGCACGCTGATTCCCATCCAATTAGCGCTAGTCGATACTTGGAGAACACTCAATAATCTTTTCACGTAAAAACTATAAATATACTAACGTATTTCTTACTATGCTTCTTACTTCCATCTACCCTTGTTATTTGGAATACAATATCTCCCTGTTCAATCGTGTTCTTATTTGGGGACTTGTCGAGTGAATTGATGTCTAAGAATACTAAGCAATAGGAATAGCTGGGTTGTAATTAGGGAAATTATAACAAGTGGATATGATGTATACGCTATAAAAGAAAAGCATACTTAGCGACGTTAACTTAATTGTTATTTGATAAACAAGGATGGATGATGGCTAGCAGTGGAGTCCAGGTTGTGCGTTTCGTCCTATTTGTGACTCGTCTGTTGGATTTACCTGCATCTCATAATTGATGTTTACTACAGGACTGCAACCCAGCACCGTTTGCGGTGTCGAAACGCTCATCTTGGATTCCACTGCTAGCCATTATCCATCTTCACTTAAAAAGCTTGTGGCTCAAAGCAATCCGCACAGGATGTACATATGCTAATAGAATACTGATCAGATGCCGTCTTAAGCATCGATGGGAAGATTCAAACAAACAGTACAAAAATGAATTAATTATTATATGATATTCCCAACGTAAACGAGTGTTTTTCGCTTCACTAACATACAACCGCAATTTGTTTACGTTTATCTGGAGCACGAAACGGATCCACTTTTCGCCACTTAGTTACTTTATTGACAATGTCCGGTTGAAAATGCGTCTTGTAATTTAATATTGAGCGAATTAACAATATTGATGGGACTTCGTATGAAATACCGTATACTTCACTTGATAAAACTGATTAGAATTTTTCAGAGCTAAAAGACTTGCTGAAAATCAATGATTACGTTTGTGAAACGCGTGAGGTTTAAAATGGATCAAATATGAAGCAAGTTGAACCTTTGGAATTATTATTATTGTTAATACTGACAGTTAACAAAGTATCACGTTCATCCAAACTCCTAATTATTTCCAAGTACTAAAACAATCGTCCAGTCATGTAACTACAGAATAAGTTGAATTACTTACACCTGTTATTCCGAATGGAGCATAGGCCACCGACCAGCATTCTTCAACCCACTCTGTCCTAGGCCTTCCTTTCTAGTTCTATCTAGTTGTTGTTCATTCCTCTCATATCTGTCTCCACTTCTCGGCGTAATTTGTTCTTTGGCCTTGCCTTGTGACGCAGTTGGGTGCTTTCCTCAATGTGGGTCCTATCCACTTTCAGCGCTTCCTGGTTTCTTCTCTCCCACAGTAGATTGTTTCTGATAGTGTCTGGCCAACTGATCCGAAGCATTTTGCGTAGACAACTGTTAATAAACACTTGTATCTTCTGGATGATGGCTTTCGTAGTTCTCCAAGTTTCCGCCCCATACAGTAGAACTGTCTAGACATTAGTATTAAAAATTCTGACTTTGGTGTTGGTTGACAATTGTTTTGAGTTTCAGGTGTTCTTCAGTTGTAAGTATGCTGCTCTTGCTTTGCCGATCCGCGCCCTCACATCTGCATCAGATCCACCGTGTTCATCGATGATGCTGCCCAGATATGTAAAGGCTTTTACATCCTCCAAAGCTTCTCCGTCAAGTGTGATTTGGTTGGTGCATGTTGTGTTGTATTGGAGAATCTTGCTTTTCCCTTTGTGTATGTTGAGACCTACTGCTGCTGAGGCTGTTGCTACACTGGTCGTCTCCTGCACTTGTAGTCGTGTGCGAAATTAGGTGTATTATATGGATAAAATATTTCTTGTAAACGTCTATTGAGATATTTAGAAAATGATCAGCAGAGTTGGCTAAGTAGCGTTCACACTAAAAGTGATCGTACGTCTTCTAACTAATTACTGTATACGTCCAATATACGAGATAGCTGCAGAAAAGCAATATATCCCTATTGACTGTGATAAATAATACAAGTATATAGTCTAGACATGCCGAATTGCTGTTTTTTCAGGATTTATTTCACAGAATGACTTAGTGAAAGAGAAATTATATTTACAGAATCAAAGGTGATGACACGGTGCCTAATACAAACCTCCATTGGGTGGTATAAAGGTCCACAAATAACTTACTTGATATTCATCTGGCAAACCAGGATCCGAAGGGTCAGAGTCAGTATCCTTGATAGTAAATTTCAATGTGTTGATAAAAGTAGCAGAATGACATTCCAGATCCTCCGGCAACTCAACTAGAACATACGTCACAGCGGGAGAATTATACTTTAAGCTTTTGCAAGGTACTGTGCAGACAATATTAAACAGTGAGTCGTCCGGCTCGCACGAAACATAGACATTCTCCAAGACTTGGTCTGCCATTGTATTGATACAATCGAACTGAAATAAATGATCGAATGAAATTAGTGAGAGCAGAGAATAAACAGGAAGTTGCTCACTTCTATACGGTATTGATTTTACTTGACAATCTACATTGTTTGATGTGACAAGACTAAGAAGAGACGAATCCAGACTGTTTATATAACAGCAATGGTCTTAACCTTTAGGAACTTATAACATAGAATCGTAACCTCAAGAAAATATAATGAGAAATAAAGAGCTGTCAGGAAAACTAAACGCAAATGTGATGCATTGACTAATCCTCGCTGTTTTCTGGATCAAACGAAATGATATCGGTATTGTCGAACTATATAGGCCTCAGCAATTAAATTAACGGAAAATAATTCAGTGCTTACCGATTAGAACCAATTGTGTTTGTGTGTAAAAAGTGTTTCATGATTGCTAACAAATGCTTGGAAATTTGACTCACCTGCAAGACTAAATGCCTTGAGAATAAATGTTTTATGCATGTTACTACATATTCAGTGTCAGATTCAGTTAATTCTACCGGGGAGGAAGATTTGAATATAGAGCCAAGACCAGAAAATTCGGGTATAGATGCCAGCTGCTCAGCAAATGAATCTTGAATACGTTTTCCTGACATCTGAGAAGCAAGTGATGTGTTTCGACCTTCACCAGCCATCGCATTAGGTTTAGCTTGAAAACAATGACATCAGAATTTATTGAGAAAATAACAAAGTACTGTGTCTTGATAATTTTGAAAAAAACAAATGAATATATCGAACTGGAAAGAAGATAGTAACTTGGGACTATACATGTCGATGTATTTTGCAGCGGAGAAATGATAAGTGAGAGTGTATCCATCACAGCAAATAATTTCGGGTTGTATTATCTGATATTGAACCACTGAACACAGGTGTCTAAATCATCACGATAAACGTTTTAACTCTCCACATAGTTTAAACAAATAGTCAGCGTCTCAAAAGAGTGCTGCCATACTTTGGTCTGACTGTTCTTAATCTTTTTCTAATTTAGCTGTAGTACTTGATTACCTCATTTACACAAACCAAATCAGTTTTATGGTGGGATTCTTAATTTAAAATCATAGTAGACTACTAGTTATTATTTATAGTGGTTTTGAAATTTTAAAGTAATATACTTTTAAGCTGATCACAGAACAGCGAAGATGTGATAGGCGATAAGTATACGTATATAACTACCACACCAAAAATGGCTCATATAAAACAACACCATCTTAGACCCGGTAATGATTTCAAACGATGTCAACAAACTTCTAATTTTAAGATAAAATCCCCATTGAATACTCGCTTCGACCATTATTACTACGCATAAGACAGTTTTGCTTACCTTTAATCTTTACAACATCCGAGTCAATGGCAGAACTAAGATCATTTGGCTGAACAATATCAGCTATTGGGACTGTCGTCAAAGAGAAAGGACTACCAGCAACTGTGTGGGAGTTGTGCACATAATCCAACAAAGCACACTCTAAACCAGATGGATTTAGATGCATTTCTTCACTTAAAAGGTAAGCAGATTTTAATGCTACTTGGTTATTTGATAAAATATAGTGGTAGAAAGCTGCGCGGTCACGAACCTCATCGTCTTCATCAATCATAATTCTAGACAGAGGAAAAACAGAAACAAGATGGTTTTGAAGGTAAGTCAAAACAAAAGCCATTAAAAGGATCCGTTTTTTGAATAAACAGAAAAAATAATAGCGAGATTAGTCGTTGATCAAAAGCTTCTCAACTATATCTGATTCAGGGGACACAACACTGACAACAGAATGGTGAATTCAAAATGCTAGAAAGAAGGCAAAGGATATGTCAGAGAGCCTTCGCGAAGGAAAAAAGTGACCGGCATTTGAATGCATCATTTATTAATAAACGTTTTTGATGTAATTATCAATTGCATTCACGTTCGGAATACTGTCGTGAATAAAACTGACATGAAATGGCCCAAAATCGTTCGCAATGGCACAGGTACACTTATTTTTTGTCTGCCCTTTCATTCTATGTATTTACATTTTGGCGCGAAATTCACTCAGCCATATGGCTAAAAAGCATTTTGGCATTATAGCTGGTATCAGTTCGTAATGAAAACCATGACCCTTATTCCTAACCCTCACGCTCAACAGCAAATCCCAACCCTAATTTATGACAGTTATTTAAAACCCTCATTTAACTCGTGTAAGTTGGCCGAAATTCTCAGGGTCACTTAAGAATCCCTCAAAGGTCGTCCCTAAATTAGTCTCACCGCAAGATTCTGCGTTGCGTATGACTGACTGACTAATATTGTCCATTAACTCCTTCATTATACTAATGGGTCTTGAAAAGCTTGTCAGCAATCACCATGCTAAATATTTTAAAAGTGAAACGGAAGCAGAGCGGTGGGTGCTAAATTTCATTATTTGACTATCCTCGCAGGACGAGGAGACAAGTACATTATAATTCATACCCATTTGTCTAAATTGAAAAGCCATACATCGTTTTTATCGACGTCGTTCTTACTACTATCATTGCACTAAATTGCACTAGTTTGAATGAGTCAAAAAAACAACGTTTATGAGTTCATTCAAAAACCAAGAAAACTTCTCATTCAGTGTTCAGATCACTTTACGATATCAGTGTGAATCATCTAAGTAGTGATGCTGCAGTTTAGTTGTATACTTTATAGTATGTTTTGTCATAAATAACTATCAATCTTTAGTGGACAGGTATCCAAAGAATCTGAGTTGACAAAACAAATAGGTGATTAACTATTAACTTTTCGTTTATTTAAAGTCTCACATGATTGTTTGTTTTACGTAAACCATGTCGATTCAAACACAGGTCTAATTAATTAAAATTTCGTAAGATGTAAACGATAAAATGTGAAGCTGCGAATATTGAACTTCTAGATCTTTTGGCAGACAAAAGGGCAGACCTAAGCTTTTAGAAATTATTCGATTACTGCAAGATTTTTAACACCTATCCTTACATTGAAATGTCCCATGGTTTTTTGAAATCCTCACCTGTTAATTGTTTATCCAAATTAAATTTTGTACGTCACTTTACTAACACTATGTTGGATTCCACATTACAGGAATATTCGAAGTTTGTACGAAGTGCTATTGCCAAATCTAACAAAGCTCAACATGAACAAAAATTTATAAAAAACCAGACAACAGAAAATTGTGTATACCGTTTAAGAAGTACAAGAATACTCGGAAGTAATTCCTCATTGTGTGCAGCAAATCTCGCCAGAGCTGTTGTAGCTGTGCACTTAATGGAAGCTGACTCGAGCATAACTCTATTGTAAATGTAACGCGTAAATTGACGAGGACGTTTGAGGTAAGGTCCCTCCCGCCCTAACAGATGGAGTATACGCTGTGTTAGTTTAACATGTTCGCAATCCTCTATGAAGTCACACAATTGTAACAAACCTACATTCAGATTAGAAATATGAAACACATATTTAGTAGCGAAGATTAAGCATCTCCAAACGTCAACTTTCATTGTGTTTAACAAATCAAAAAGAGAAAGGGGATAAACTGCTTAGCAGACGACCTACATGTTTGAAATATTTATCAATACAATACTGTTTTGAATTGATTTTGAGCAGAGTTCAACCTTAATCATTACGTTTGTTATGTGAGAAAGTATAAAAATTACCGGTTAGCCATTTAGCGTTTAATCAATAAACCACAGAATCGAACCACGCTTTCGTTTACGCAGTTGCATAATATCAGCAGCTCGAATCGGTTTACATACATTATTATTTAGCGAATGCGTTGCTGTAACTCTACATAATGAACATACAAAGGCGATTCTTCTAGACGAAATAAATGTAAAAAATATTTCACGATGAGCAAACCTTATGTAAAGATTATTTTATCCGATAAACTTCCACTAACGACCCCATGGTGACATATACGTAAACAAGGATTCCAGTAATTACAGAAATGTTTGACAACTAGATTTAATCCAATATTTACTTATGGGGCAGGGTCAGACAAACGTGATACGCAGCTCTATGTTGGCACATACAGTTAACAGTGGTCATATGGTCGATAAAACTAGTCTCAAGTGATTTATCATATACTTTCGTCAATTCTCAATAAGATTCGATTTCATCTTGCCCATATCGCAGAAGCTATATGGATCCGAGTCTATACCTCAAGTTCATGTGTTCAGAAAAAAGTGACACCCCTGTCCCTTCCTTGTCTGGAAATAACTTATTAAACGATTTCGCTGATTTACTTACGTCCTGTATTCATTTTCCGTCCTTTACCTCTTTTCGTCTATATTCTGATTATTTAGATGACTATTTACTGTGTAATTTCTTGCAATTATTATTTAAGCGTCTATTTATTCACGTTTGGGCTACTTCCTATGTTAAACTCTTGACTAAAAATTCACTTGGTGTTGTTTGCTTGTATCTTCCCATTGTCGTTTAGGACTGCATTTGATCAGTCTCTTATTGGCATATGTACATCCTGTGCGGATTGCCTCGATATTGTCACAAGCTTTTTAAGCAAAGATGGATAGTGGCTAGCATTGAGACTGGTGGACTACTAGTTATTACGAAAACCAATGTTTAGTCTGTGTCGTACAATTTTAGTAACTCAAATAATCATACTGTGATCAGTCAAGTGAGGAAGATTGTTAATCTTTTTAGAGCACCTAACAGGAATTTGTCTGGCCACCTGGTGGTCAGCTGATGTGTCGTCCTAAGTGAACTGATGTAATCAAACTGGCTGGGTCTGAGGCTTAGAGAGAAACTACACAAATAAATACTGATTTTCAGTAAGGTTCTTACAATTTGAAATACGTCCGCTTATTGGTGCGAATTTCGAGCGCAAAGAAATATTTTAAAATGTCTACATAAGGACTGACGAAATTTAATGACCGAAGCGAGCTAAAACAGCGAAAAGAATGATAAAATCTGACAATTGCAGAAAGTTATTTCAGCCAATAAAATCAACCATCAGAAATCAGTGTTGTACGACATGTAATTGTCCCAGTTACCAAAAACGCCCAGATAGTAGGAAAAACGCGGCGAATGACAACCTCGGTCCTCCTACAACTTTGACCGAATTCAACTGTAACTTCATAATTGGTAAAGACCGATGCAACAGATGGGGCGCAAATGAGTGAATTTCAAGTACTAAAATAAGTGGTAAACAGCCTATATAACTGCCCCCACCCCACCATATTTTTAAAGATGAAGACTTTTTAGTTAAAATGGAACCACTGTGGTTTTATTTTATTTAAACACATAAATATTGGTACAAGGAAGCACCAGATACATATGCGCCACACAAATCTCATTTGATTTGTGTGAGAGCTGTGATACTGCCCAGGTGGTTTTCTTAGGGGGCCACACCCGGAGCCTTTGACCTGAAGGTCTAGTCCACAAGGCAGTGGAGCATCGTGAGGAGATGCAGTCCTAGGGTGGCCGGTGATCAATGATTGATTCGTACGCGATTTGTTCCTTCAGGATCCTGGAGCCCATGTGTACCATTGGTTTGGAATCAGGGTTTTCCAACTGCCCTAGGTGGACTCGCCTTGTCCACCAACCCGGTTAAAGCGCCGGACATTCGCTTTTCGTCCTCTCAATTTTGTAAACAACACCCCCGCCACGAGAAGGCAGTGAGTGGGACTTCCCTGGCAGAGGCTATATATTCGCTGGTCATGTGAGAGTATTTCGAGAGGGAGAGCGGACTCTCCCCACTCTCAGCCGTACCAGGGCAAAAACAAGTACCACTGTGGTACTTGCTTTGAAAAAGATGCAATAGGTGCTAATCACCAAAATACAGTTCTACTACCAGTTATGTTAAGAATACCAGCTGATGTACATCAGCGAAGTGATTGTATCATGTTTTGCGCAATTTAATCTCCCACCAACCCCAATGTAACGTAAAATCCTGGCTGAAATAAGCTAGCAATAGGAAAAAGTTACACAGAAGCCCCCACTAAGATACGGAACCAGTCCATCAAGTTAGTGCCTGTTGGTCTAATCTTCATAAGATACGGCAGACTACTTCCGTGAAGTCTTTGACATGACATACTACACTTTTTGTGAGTACGAATATCTATTCTAGGATTTGAACGAGTTATGAAAGAGTATGAATATCATGTAATTCTGATCCTTACTTAACTATTTCTAAATTTAAGCTGAGCTTTCAGATTCATAAGCATACAAATAGTTAATCACTTATTTTACGAAATTTTCTGATGTTATTATTTTACCTATACATATTCAATGATTTGCAGTCAGTTTTAATGACAATGTTGGAAGAGTTACTGTTTCAAAAAACCGTTTGCAATCAATTCTCTGATGGTCAAGGATTGCAAGTGATTTTCTTACCTTGCTAAATTGTAGAAACGAGGAAAAAAGTTTTACAGAAACTCTTAAGACAAACCTACCTATACTTTTAGCTTCTGGAATTTGTTTGATAATTGATTCGATAGCAACCACAACTGCTTTTTTAAAAGTGTATCCAGCCGAATCACGAAGAAGTCCAGATAAAAAGTTTAATAACACTGTATACTTTTTGGGGTACTTTGTTGCCAAAGCATGGATAGATTCCAATACGACTATTTTAAATTCATCGCTTATTTCACTCATGAACGGAGATACATGTTTTAGCAAACGTTCAACATTTGACTCGTTACCCGTCTAAAAGATTTAATTCATTAATAATATTCTAAACTGTGCAATTCCATATGGTCTATAATTATTCCATATTAAAAGTCATATTGCGTCAATTTAAGTTCTCACACACATTTTAATAACGTTAAAAGAGGGAAACAACAAAATAGGAAAGTACGGTTAACGAAGATTTAACTTGATAGGGTATGAGTATTCACGATAGTATCAATACTTCTACCAACCGATGTTTTATGCAATGAAAATCCTACAGAATGGGAATAACTTATCAATAACGTTAGGCAAACCATTGCCCTTCCTTAAAAGAAACCCTATGTTTAAGCTCCGAGCCACAAAAGAAGCATCTACAATAATAGAATATTGATCATATGTCTGTCTTTACCTTGTAGGTCTTAAATTAGATCTACCGTTGTTTCAAGGGCACAATAACGTACCAGACACAAGTCAAATACGTTGAATCAGAAAACTAATATATTCACTTGGCTTAGTTATTTTAAAGCAATTAGTCCCTTTTATAAATTTCGATAGAACAATGAGAAGACGTAGTTGATCTGAAAAATGTGATGTATTTGCGCTATACATTTCGAACAATCTGGTCACACATATACTTGTCAAGGCATTTTTATATGAAAATTAATAAAGGTCAAAGAAACAAATAAATGTACAACTAAAATAACTAAGGGGGAGAAAGAATAAGAAATTGTCGCGTTATTCTAGGCCATAGAATGACTTAAGGATTACCAAGGTAAATTCAAGGTTACGACAAATTGTTTTTGTACACATAAGGGGGGTTTAAATTTACGAATAGCTAAGGCTTCAATAAACTTAAGAATTCGACCTTGACAATTTCTATACAACATTCTAAATGCTGTATTAATGTTAATTTTGTGCCCCGTCTCAATAATGTGTTTTGCTATCGATGAACATGGTTTTCTACCGCCTACATTGATCGGATCATTTGACACACACTGATTTTGAAGCCATCTGGGTACATGTTCATTGACCCTTGATTGCATTGTTCGATTACTCCTACCTATGTATGTGTGTCCACACAAACATGTAAATTGGTAAATACAATGGGATGTGACGTAATCATTAGTGCATTGTTTGGGTCTATTATGAATCATGGCCTTAGACTTTTCAATCACTACCAACTGAGCAGCATAATACGTATTCTCAATGGCTGCTTTCAATCTCTGCCTTAAAACTATACTGTTTGATTCGCCTCTATATGGTAGATTGATGTAAACCTTTTTCTTTGGCACTGAATAAATTAGAGGTCTTGGCATTAATTGACTTTTGCACCTATTAATAAACTTGAGTGGATAACCATTTGCTATTAACGTGTCAGTCAGTAACTTCTCCTCTTTTTCCACCATATCAGAGGTACATATTCTTCGAGTCCTCTTAAAGAGGCGAATCAAACAGTATAGTTTTAAGGCAGAGATTGAAAGCAGCCATTGAGAATACGTATTATGCTGCTCAGTTGGTAGTGATTGAAAAGTCTAAGGCCATGATTCATAATAGACCCAAACAATGCACTAATGATTACGTCACATCCCATTGTATTTACCAATTTACATGTTTGTGTGGACACACATACATAGGTAGGAGTAATCGAACAATGCAATCAAGGGTCAATGAACATGTACCCAGATGGCTTCAAAATCAGTGTGTGTCAAATGATCCGATCAATGTAGGCGGTAGAAAACCATGTTCATCGATAGCAAAACACATTATTGAGACGGGGCACAAAATTAACATTAATACAGCATTTAGAATGTTGTATAGAAATTGTCAAGGTCGAATTCTTAAGTTTATTGAAGCCTTAGCTATTCGTAAATTTAAACCCCCCTTATGTGTACAAAAACAATTTGTCGTAACCTTGAATTTACCTTGGTAATCCTTAAGTCATTCTATGGCCTAGAATAACGCGACAATTTCTTATTCTTTCTCCCCCTTAGTTATTTTAGTTGTACATTTATTTGTTTCTTTGACCTTTATTAATTTTCATATAAAAATGCCTTGACAAGTATATGTGTGACCAGATTGTTCGAAATGTATAGCGCAAATACATCACATTTTTCAGATCAATTAGTTATTTTAGTTTATGGCCGCCATATAAGCTACATCAGTTACTTTAGGTAGTAAAGAGGGATTATGGTGGACACGCAACTTAAAGATATTGATAACTGAAAGTCATTTAGAAATTGCTAACTCCTACCGACCAAGGTTTTTGCAGATTCTGACCTTAGTGGGAATCGTAAATAAAAATGAGAGATGAAGGAAATAGTATACCACGGTTTTATTCACATACCTTTAGTAAAGTAGTTATTGCAAGTGTTGCAATGCTTCTATTAGGATCGCCAATTAGTTGCTCAAGATCGAGATTACATGCAGTTACTGCTGCAGGATGATTACTGGCGACAGAGTTTAACGTATGTACAGCAGCATATCGTAACGCAGGTTTAGAAGATGAACACAGCAGTTGTAAAACACCCACGGCAGGTGCTAATTCTTTGGCTGTTAAGTTTCGGAGGCTAATTATCGCTCGAGCCGCTTCGTAAATGACCATTTCCGATTTATGGCGAAGAGATGATTCCAAAAACTCATATAATTGTGGATTATTCCTAATGAGAATGTGAAAATATGGTTTAAGGGTATAAAAAACATATTAAAATGGCAATCTGAATTTGAAGACTCGTTCTTGAGAAGATAGAATGGCACACTATACATATCACATAACACATGTGGGTCAAAGTGTATGTACACAACAATTGATGTGACCCAGATAGTTCAAACGGATTCGATTTGTTTTGGAATACAGAAAATATAGAACATTACTATGGTTTATAAACCTTGAAATTTTAAAAATACATAGGACATACGAAAATAACAATATATGACCACACGTGCTCTACGAGCTGGGCCTGCACTTTTGCCCCCAAATGCCCTGGTACGGCCGAGTACGGGGAGAGTCAGCTCTCCCTCTCGAAATGATCTCATATGGCCACGCGTATACAACCACTGCCAGAAAATTCCTCACTGCCTTCTCGTTGCATTACTATTGTTTACGAAATTGAGAGGACGAAAAGCGAATGTCCGGCGCTTTAACCGGGTCGGTGGACACGGCGAGTCCACCTGAGGGAGTTGACAAACCCTGATTCCAAACCAATGGTACACATGGGCTCCAGGATCCTGAAGGAACAAATGGCGTGTGAACCAATCGTTGGCCACCGGATACCATGGGACTGCATCTCCTTACAATGCTCCACTGCCTTGTGGACTAGACCTTCAGGTCAAAGGCTCCGGGTGTGGCCCCCTAAGAAAACCACCTGCTTCGGTCTGGGCACCTGGGCAGTATCACAGCCCTCACACAAATCAAATGAGATTTGTGTGGCGCATATGTATCTGGTGCTTCCTTGTACCAATATTTATGTTCAAATAAACAAATAAGCTGATTAAGATTTTGAAAATCATGAGAACTTGTCAAATGCAATAGTTGAGAGCTTGTGGATATGGAGGAATTACTCTGATCTTTGACGAAATTAGAGTGAGTCAATACATCTTCCGCTGAAACCTAGGAAGAATCTCTAAAAGCTACAAGATGCCTAACCGTTAAACACACCGAAAACTGAGACCATGTATCAACAGATAGTTTAGTAAGCCAACATTTTTTGTAGATGAAGTCCAACTGTCGCTGAGTAGAAGACAGAATTTCAAGTTACTTCCAATATGTAAATGTGTCAACATTTTTTTCCGTGAAATCCCAGGATTTGTGGTGCCAGCTATTGGTTTTTAACCGTGACTTTTGCAGTATTTATAAAAAATTTTACGAATTCTATACTTTATTATACCACTAACTGTAAAAGCTTACCTATTCATTTGTGTGCTGGAATCTACGCTACAACTCGCCTGTAACTAACAGTGGTTAAAAATGTTCGATAACAAAACTGAGTGAGCTACAAAAGATACTCCATGTATAAGTTTCAGAGTACTTTGACACCAAATAAACACACTTCCCTCAGTAAAAATCGGACAACTTACGGGTGTCCATCTTCGTCCAACTGCTTTGCAACTATCCTTATCTACAGAAGTGAGATAACATGAATAATAACTCACCATGAGACAATACGCGTAAGGAGATCTTAAAGTAGACCGAGTAAACTTTTGAATCATTTTCGTCACAGCAAGTCGATCAGATTGACGAATTAAATACAACAGACCAATAGCATGATATTGTACCATTACACGAGAGCCCGATGCAGCTTCTTGTACTTCGTTCGTCCATCTTTTGATAATATCCGGACAAACATTCATTAACTTATATGCAGACGTCAACACAGCTGATGCTATGGCAGGGGACTTATCTACTACAGCCTGCTTAAGGTAGCGTTCAATACTCTGGACCATCGCTGCCTAAAAAAGACAGTAAAATCGAAGCTCAACTTACATCCGTAATAGTACAAAGCGCCCGAATTGCAGGGCCACGAAAAGCAATTTCTGGACCAGTCATATCTTTAGTCAGGCTACAGAGTAGTAGTTATTATTCAAGAAGGTACCTGCTAGTAACAATAATCACATCATCTGCAACAGTAGACAATTCTTTAATCACTAGGTAAAGCATGCGACGAAGATTTTGCTGAAGACGAAGATTAGAATCAAACAACATACGTCATTAGATTGAAACAACTTGGTCATTGCGAAAAAAGCATCCGTCGCCTCTATCTTCCCCAATTTTTCACTCTATATATCCAGTTTAAAAATTATAAATTAATTTAGACCTGCTCCAAAATCACTAGAATTTTAGTCAATATGTGAACACATTTCCTTGGGTTAAGCGTTGTTTGATTAAACAAGCGGGCCTAAAACATTTACATATCGAGAGAACAGAAGTTGCAAATACTTCTTGCAAAACCACAGTTTTATCCAGCTTTGCATACACTGCTCCGTAGCCTAGAAATATATAAAAACATTACATGTAAGGCACATAAATACCAAGTTTCAAAAGATTAAGCATAAAGTAACAAGACCGTTCTTACCTTCTTCCTCATCTTTTTTATCTTTCCTCTTAGAGCCGACATCAAAAAACGAGGCCATGACGCGTCAGGCAGTTGAAAACCGCGCGTTGCTACGACTTTTTATTTGCAGTCTTCAACCGAGGTCACGTATAATTATCGATGTCTTTTAAGATCAGCCATCGTGATATGAAAGATTGGTCGAAAATGCAGAAAAGTATGACTTAGTGGCATAATCCATTGGGAGTTTTAGAAAAGCAACAATCTGTTAGTAAATTTCAGTATTAGTTCGGAAAGTACATGATCCAACTTTCTCTTGAAAGCGTTGACAGATGGAGCTTCAGTCACTTGTTGAGGTATTGAGTTTCATTCATTGATGATCCGACGGAAAATTCGGTATTCATCTGACAAGTTGCTTGTACTGAGCTTGTGGACTTTCTTAGGATATCTTAGTAAACTGTGTTTTAGAAGGACTGTGTAGCTGTAAATAATTTCCCTAAATCAATAGCTCATTAAGTGTTCGACATTGGATGCTGACCACGTTGTTTAAGTGGACTTGTTTAGCTGAAGGCTTTCGGTCATGCATCCGCATCAGATCACGTATCGACTCGGCGTGGGACACAGCTCCTACGTTACAATAGCCAGTTAAGAACGAAGTCTCTTGATATATTGGTAACGAATCAAATATATCTTTCCTGTCTCTCCTCGTCTGACTTCTGGTTTCTATTCGACTGTGAACGAACGATTATAGAAGATACTACTGGTTGCTAGTTGCAAAACTAGAATATCCGTTGTATCCTCATTGGTGAGCCCAACGTGATCTGGTACACCAAGCCAATATACTGTGAGTTTGTTCCATTTTGGAATATTATTATTCATTGTTATTCTTTATTTGAATTTTATATATTGTGATATACTGTTTTTTCGCGAATTTTTTTCCCGGATATATTTTAATTAGACATTTTTCGTTATCTGTATTACTATGACGGAACACTCACCCAAGGTTTTAAGTTAAAGTCTATTCCCCCTGTTTCGATTCAGTTAACGCCATTTTGGCCCGACAATATCGCTACGCAGAAGCTGATTTTTGCATGCACAGAATCACGGACTCGCGCACACGATTCCTCGCGGTAGTTAAGGCGTTACCGCGCGAGTTTAACAGGTACGTAACAACTAGTATGTTTACTAGTGATGTTCCAGAACCTCACGAAACTCTCAAGTGTTCGATTCTCAAACGTAGAGACCTAACTGACCGACAACGGTTAGACCAACTCCTCCATAACATCGACTTGCAACATGGTTCTGCGACAGACATGTTGCTAAGAATGAAATAAGTTATTGGCCAACGAACTTTCGACGACGGCCTATTTAGACAACTTTTCTTGTCTAAACTCCCTCAACAGGTGCAGGCAGTGCTCGTCTCGTTTCAAAACAATGCCATGGGCGAGCTGGCTGCATCTGCCGACCGAATCTTGGAAATCACCAAATTTTCTAAGGCCGAGGTTTTTTCCGTCAAGGAAAAACATCAATCGACCCCGTCTGACATAACCGAACTATGTCACACGCTTACACGATATCTTACAGTTCGTAATGACCGTAGTCGGTCAAAAACCCCGCGTAGAAGTGTCTCACATAGGCGAGCAGTCTCTCGACCACGAGAGACAGATAATCCCGACTGGTGATGGTATCATAACCAGTACGGTAAGCCTTCCAGAAATTGCAGGAAACCCTGCAGTTATCCGACCTCAAAATCGACTGACACGAATAAGATTTCGGGGAACGCCCCAGCCGGCACGCGTTAACATCAACCGTAGTCGGCGAACACAGCCGCCTCTTATGTGTCACGGATGTGACTACGAAAGTTCGCTACCTCGTTGACACCGGCGCAGGAGTTAGCGTTCTTCCAGCGAATTTCAATGACAGACTTCGCGATTCTGTTTTAAGTTTACAGGCGGCAAACGGAAAGCCGATCGCTACTTACGGTAAAAGGTACATCTACCTTAACGTGGGTTTGCGCAAACCCATACACTGAATTTTCGTGGTTGCAGATGTCTCTATGCCAATCATTGGTATAGACCTGTCACAATACCACAATCTACTCATCGATACACGCTCACGAAGGTTAATAGACGGAAACACTAAGCTATCTGTTTGCGTAACTCCTTGTTCTGGTTACAGGTTATCCCCAGTCACGATTAAGCACACCATAGACCCCTTGTATCATTCATTACTGAACAAATACCCCAGGATATACCAATCGCAATCGAAATTGCCTTGTGTAACCAGCAATGTTACACATCACATCTCGACTACAGAACCACCTGTATTCTCGAAAGCCCGTCGACTCGCCCCCGAAAAACTTAGGTTAGCCAAAAACGAATTCCAGCAAATGACATACTTAGGTATAATTCGACAATCGAATAGTCCATGGACATCCCCATTGCACATGGTCCCGAAAAAGGACAGCAATGATTGGCGGCCAACCAATGACTATCGGCGTCTGAATGCAAAAACCATTCCCGATCGTTACCCGCTGCCTCATATTCACGATTTGACAGCTACCTTGAAAGGTACAACTGTCTTTTCGAAAATCGACTTGGTTAAAGCTTATAACCAAATCCCGATGGCAACTGACGACATTCCTAAAACCGCCATCATCACTCCCTTCGGTCTTTACGAATTCTTGCGAATGCCTTTTGGTTTAAGAAACGCGGCTCAAACCTTCCAAAGGTTTATAGACGACGTCTTCCGAGGTCTCAACTTCGTACATGCGTATGTTGATGACTGTTTAATAGTAAGTCCGGACAGAGAATCACATCTCAAGCATCTGGACGCTGTTTCCGATCGACTCCAAAGGCATGGCATTACTGTCAACATTCAGAAATGCCAAATCGGAACTAACTCCTTAGACTTCCTTGGACACACTATTGATGCTCAAGGCATCCGACCACTTAGGAGCAAAGTGGCGGCCATTCTGGATTACCCAGAACCGACCACGATCAAACAGTTGCGAAATTTTAACGGACTTGTAAGTTTCTACAGACGGTTCATACCCAAATGCGCATCCCTTATGAAACCGTTAACCGATCAGCTTCGTGGAAATGCGAAATCAATTAGTTTAGACGACATAGCCCGTAAAGCATTTTCCACAGTTAAGGAGCACATCGCTAAAGCAACCTTGCTTGCTCATCAGGACAGTCAAGCGCCCATTAGTATCGCCGTAGACGCATCCGACTCAGCAATCGGAGCAGTCTTACAACAATGGGTTAACAACTCGTGGCAACCTTTAGGATTTTTCTCGAGACGGTTGCTGGACGCGGAATCTAGGTACAGCACGTTCGGTAGGGAACTCCTAGCTATGTATTGTGCTGTACGGCATTTCCAACATTCCATCGAAGGAAGAGAATTCACGCTTTTTACCGATCACAAACCTCTTACCTTCTCTTTAAGTTCATCTTCAGACAAGTACTCACTGCGAGAGTCTCGACAACTCGACTACATTTCGCAGTTTACTTCAGACATACAACATATTTCTGGAGCAAACAATGTAGTCGCAGACGCCTTGTCTCGAATTAGCTCCTTGAACAATTTCCAAGGAATCGACCTTCTTAAACTCGCTCAGCTTCAAAAAGAAGACATTGATCTTCAGCATGAGTTATCCTCGACAACTCTAAAACTAAGTATTAAGCAGATGGGAACAGGTAAGGAAACCTTACTCTGTGACACATCTACAGGTAGGGATCGTCCAATTGTACCAAAACATTATCGCCGCAACGTCTTCAATACGTTGCACAATCTTTCTCATCCAGGTGGTCATGCAACAGTCAAACTTATAGCCGAACGCTTTTGCTGGCCTGGTATGAATAAAGACGTGAGGGAGTGGGCACGCTCCTGTGTAAGCTGTCAGAAATCTAGGGTCATAAGACACAACAAATGTCCCTTAGGCTCTTTCAAAACCCCTGACGCTCGTTTCGACCACGTCCATCTAGATTTGGTAGGACCCTTACCCGACTCGAACGGATACTCATATCTCCTAACATGCGTAGACCGTTTTACTCGATGGCCAGAAGCAGTACCGATTAAGGACATTACTGCTGAAACAGTGGCTCGCACTTTCGTCGAACGATGGGTAGCAAATTTCGGCTGCCCTTCCACAATCACTACAGACCGCGGACGCCAGTTCCAATCTGGACTTTTCCGTTGTCTGACCTCACTATTAGGAATCACGCGCTTCCGAACGACCGCCTACCACCCACAAGCAAACGGGTTGGTAGAACGTTTTCATCGACAATTAAAAGCTTCATTATCAGCTTCAAACGTTTCACAGTGAACAGACGCTCTTCCACTCGTCTTGCTAGGTATCCGCAATGCAGTGAAAGCTGACATTGGATACACGGCATCTCAACTCGTTTACGGAACGACACTCCGACTCCCAGGAGAATTCGTGGATCCTTCAGCTTCTTCATTGAACATGGATCTAAACTCTTACACGAGTAGGCTCACAAACGCTATGCGTTCAGTTAAACCTGCTCACACTCGACCTCAATCAACTGATGTTTTCGTTCAACCCGAATTACGACATAGTACACACGTTTACGTTCGTCGAGGCTCACATCGACGACCCCTCGAATCAGCATACGAAGGACCCCTCAAAGTTCTTCAACGCGAACCCAAGGACTATGTAGTCGATAAGAACGGCACGAACGATAGCATCAGTATCGATCGACTCAAAGCAGCGTACTTAGAAGGAAACCATAGCTACGTCGATTTTCCTTCGGTACAAGCATACGACACAGCTACTACACTCGTAGTACCCCACACGACAATCAACAAACAACTTGAAACTTCGCCAACGTCGATAGCGAAACATAAAACAACGCGTTCTGGAAGACGAGTCAGATTTCCAGAACATCTTAACGAATATTGCACGTAGGACACAGGTTTTATCTTGAATTACAGTTTCATTGTTTATCATAAAAAAATTTTTAATATGCTCATTTTTTATTTATATAAAAAAACCAAAAACACAATACATTCTTATTTTTTTTAACGTATTTATATTTTTTATATATATAAAAAAACCAAACAAAAAAAAATTTGTTCCGATCGCTTTTACG